CTTGCTGGTCTAAATGCTGTCAGTTGATGGTTTCCAGTTCTGCTGAGTTTCTGTCAATGACGTGGGTCACACAGTTCCTTAGCACTGAGTGAGGCCTGACCCTGAGATGATAGCAGCACTTGTCACCTGGGCATGTCAAAAGAACTCTAGAGAACTGAAGATGGGTCAGGTTTTAGGCAGCTGTTATTGGAGATTTGTAAAGATTTAGGACATCACTGAAAAACTTCTTGATTTCATTTATGGGTATATACTTAACAAGAACCAGCAACAGATGAGCAGAAAGTAACAATCTGGTCTGGACCCCTTGTAATCTTTTGAAGATCACTGGAATGAGAAATGTGATTGGGCTTTTAAAGACTTGGTTAGTAGTTTTACACATACACCAACACTGGCTTTTGTCTGTCCAAGTTACTTCTCTGTGTTATACGTGGACACTAGTCTAAATGGCCTCAGGGAAACTTTGAATTAGGAAAATAATGGCCAGCCAAAATCTATTGCTTCTGCCAGCAGGGGATTCATTGATATTAAAACCCATTATCTGGCCTACAAGTTGGAATTCTTGGCCTTGAAGTGGGCAATCACAAAACATTTATGAGCTCAATTTTAGGTATGGATTAAAAGTAATCCATTGATTTGTATCCTGACAAATGTTAAATTGAATGACATCAGCCAATAGCGGGCAATAACTCTGGCCACTCTGAGTTCTGAGTGTATCAGAAACTATTTTGATCGGAGTTTTTAGTATTTCACAGCTGTTTGCTGTTATTTTATAAGTTCTATGATTCTGCTCACTTCACTCAGCATCAGTTTATACAAATCTTCCCAGGTTTCTCTGTAACTGTGTCTTTCATCATTTCTCACAGAGCAATTTCAAGTATTTTATTAGAATCAGATACATAATTTGTTCAGCCATTCCCCAACTGATGAGAACCCCCTTAAGTTTCCTGTTCTTTGCTACAAAGAGCTGCTACAAATATTTTGTGCATATGAGATCAAATCAAAATGTAGTTAAAATATTTATCAAATAAAAAATATGATAGAACAAAGCTAATACAAATATGTGGCCTTCTAAGTCAATATGGACCAGCAGGAATCTTTATGTATGGTTTAGTGACCCTCATTATTATTTGAATTTGACACCATTGCTCTAGGCAATTTAAAAAGTATTTATTTAATATTTTATTTTCCCCCCAATTACATGTAAAAACAATTTTAAAAATTTGTTTTGTAAAATTTTGAGGTCCAAATTCTTTCCCTTCCTTCTTTTCCTCCCCCCTCATTGAGAATGCAAGCATTTTGATAGAAGTTATAGATATGCAGTCATGTAAGACATATTTCCATATCATATTACAACATGATTTCCAGTCATGTTGTAAAAGAAAACACAGATTAAAAAAAAAACCGAACAAGACAAATAAAGAAAGTAAAAAAGTATGCTTTGACCTGTATTCAGACTTTATTAGTTCTTTCTCCAGATACAGATAGCATTTTTCATCATAAGTCTTTCGGAATTGCCTTGGATCATCGTATTGCTGAGACCAAGTCATTCACGGTTGATCATTGTATAATATTGCCATTACTGTGTACAGTGTTCTCCTGGTTCTGCTCATTTCACTTTGCTTCAGTTCATGTAAGTCTTTCCAGGTTTTATGAGAGCATCCTGCTTGTTATTTCTTATAGTAAAATAGTTTAAAGTTCTTTCAAGGTGGCATGATCTAAGGAGAGGAGTGGTCACTGCTCTCCTGGCCTGTACTCTGGTCTGTGAGTAATCACAAGCACTCTTTTTAAACCCTAAACTGTGACCAGGGATCCCATTTCCCCGTGGCCACCTCTGGCATGCTAGTCCTCCTCCTTGCCCTGGGACTGTGACCAACTATGACCCAGATCTACATATGGGAATTACAACAGATTTCTGCACCCAGTGCCAGCAAAGGTACCCCTGTAATCTCTCTTTGACCAGCTGTCTGACCCTTTACCATCTGTGGGCTGAGAGTCTAGAAGCAGCCACTGCCACCCCTGATCTGGTCATCCCAAAGGCCTGCTGCGGTTTTGCGGGGGCTAACCCTCTGCTGGTGCTGGACTGTGCTCCGTTCTCTCCCTTGTGCGATAGACCTTTCCTGCTGATCTTGTAAGTTTTCTTGGGTTGGGAAATTGTTTCACCCTGTCCTTTTGTGGGTTCTGCCACTCTAGAATTCATTTTGAGATGTTATTTTAAATTGTTTGCAGGGGAATTTGAGAGAGCTCAGGAGAGTCCCTCCCTTTTCTCCACCACCTTGGCTCTGTGTTCCAACCCCCTCCACCTTCACCCCAGACACTCTTTAAGAATATGAGCTGAAGAGAAGGTTCCAACCTGTATTAGGAAAGAGAGTTTCCTCACCCAAAAGTGCTCTGTACCAGCAAAATCATAAGTTGATTTCCTTTCTCTACTTACAGGGTTATTATAAGGTTCAAATGGCATAATATATGTAAAACACTTTATCAATGTTAGACTTCTATATAAATTTCAATTACTATTATGAGAAAGCAATTAGTATTACCTAAAACCTACTGATTCATGTTTATAAGAGCATTCCACAGTGATTTTAAGCATCTGGGCCAGGAGGAAACTGGATTTAGGAAAGAATAAATCCTACTGCTGAATGTGGCAACAGATGTGTACAAGAAGTGTGAAACCTGTGCCTGGTGTGTTCAGTGGAGAGTGCTAATGATTCGAGCTGCTTCTCTGGAAGGTACAAGCATCAGCAAGTCTTTGGAGTTGTTTTGAATAGAGTCCTTTTCTTTGTAAGGGGATAGAAAAAATTTAATTCCCAATGGGATACAGATAGGCATTTTTCCAATGAAGAAATATAAACCCTTGACAATCATACGAAAGAATGTTCCAAATTAATAATAATATTAAAGGAGATGCTAATTAAAACAATGCTGAGGTTTCACCTCATGCTAATCATATTGGAGAAGATGACAAAAGGCAAAAAAATGGTAAAAGTTAGAAGGCAATGGGAAGACCAGCCATTAAAGTAATGTTGGTAGTTCTGTGAATTGGCCCAACTTCAGGAAAACAATTTGGAACTATATTAGAAGAGTCACTAAATTGTATACATCCTTTGATCCAGTTATCCCACTGGGCATATATGTCAAGGAGGTCAAAGACAGAGGAGAAGGCCACATATATACAAAAATAAGTATGGCAGCATTTTTTTTGTAGCAAAACACTGGAAACAAGTTGGGTGGCCATCATTTGGCAGATGGCTGAACAAATTGTGGTACCTAAATATAAGAAATATTATTGAACTGTAATAGGACAAAGATGAAGAATTCAGAAAAACTTGTGAAGACTTGCCTAAACTAAAACAGAAGGAAGTAATCTGAACCAAGAGAACAATGACCACAATTATATAAAAGAAAACAACACTGAAAGACATTAGTACTCTGATTAAAGCAATGTTTAGTTTTGATTCCAGAGGAGTGACTATACCTCTTTCTTTCTTGAAGGGAGGCAGTGAGGCTTTGTCAGATGTGACCAATGTGTTGGTTTGTTTTGTTTAACTATATTTCTTTCTTATAAGGGAGAGATCAAGGTGAGGAGGAAGGACAATAGTCCTGGGAAATGACAGCAATTTTTAAAAAAAGGACTAGTAAAACTTTTTAAATTAACACAACCACCATCCTAGTGATGACGGACCACTTCATGTGGTTTTCTCAGACTTATTCAACCAGAACTCAGGAATCTTCCACAGTTTCCAAGGTGTTACTGGAGAAGTATTTCTTTGTACATGGCTTCCCTGTCAGGACTCATTCTGATCAGGGTTGAGGTTTGGAAAGCAAGCTATTCAAGAAGGTATTCAACTGAACAGGAATCAGATGTAGAACGGTATCATCTCATTCTTAAGGAGACCAGCAGTAGGAGCTATCTAAGTTGCACTCAGCTAACACTGTTGGTGATGCTGAGGTCAGAGCAAAAGGCAAAGTAGAGCCAGCATTTGACCTTTCTAGTGCATACTTCTAATGCCACAGGCTTTACTCCACATGTGCTGATGGCTGGGCTTGAGCCATTGATGCTTACTGACCTATGCTTTGAAGTCTCTGAGGATGGAGAAGATACAATGATTCACAACCAGTATGTTATGCAGCTGAGAGGGCAGATAAGGGAAACCTATTGCCTAGATATGACCTCAGCTCAGAAGAGCAGAGTGAAGAACACTCAGTAGTATGATTTGCTATTAAAACTCTGGTCATGAAATGTAAGCAAGAAATGCCTCAAAATCTTGGTTCCCTGAGAAAACTGATACCAGATGGCTGCAGAATCACCCTATACTGAGTAGAGGAAAGACAGGCAATCTGACAGTCTACAAAATAGTACCAGAGACTTGCAAGGTGCTCTACAGATGATGCATCACAGCTGTCTGTCAGTCATAGGTGAGTTAGTCAGATTCCTTAGCAAACAGAACAGAAATTTGGGCAAGTCAAGGAATTAGGCCCAAAGTTGAACATGGACAGTTGACACCAGATGATGTCCCATATGGAAAGGGACTGGATCAAATTCCAGAGGAAAAAGAAGCTATATGTTCTTGTTAGTGGCCAAGACTGCCCTTACCTGTGGGGGAACTGTACCTGGATAGGAGGTAGCTAAATCCAGAGGTTACACTGGGCACTCTTTCATGCCCAATATTGCAGCTGGAGCATTAGGGGATACAGATAGTACTTTCTGGCCAAGGCCATTAGCTAGGAAGCTGGATAGAACAAGTATATCTGGAGTTAGAAAGACCTGAGTTAAAATCCAGCCACAGATACTTAATGGCTGTGTGACTCTGGGCAAATCACTTAACCTCTATCTGCCTCAGTTTCCTTGACTATACAATAGGATAATAACAGTACCTACCTCCCATGGTTATTGTGAGGAAACAAAACAATGAGATAACATGTGTAAAGTGCTTACCATAATGTTTGGTATATATTAGGTTTACTTAATAAATACTTGTTCCTTCTTTTCTCATCAATAGGCCCAGAACTGACTGCAAGGTCCCAAACCTGAAGACAACTTTGTTTCTCTTTCCCTTCCTCTTTTATTGCCCAAATGTTCAAATGTGACATTGGGTCACCATAGAAATGACTGGATTATTTGACCAGGGACACACGATGCCTTGGATATGACGGGCAAGCAAGCCACTCATGAAGTCCAAAGATGCCTCCTAGAAGAAGGGCTACATATTGCTTGGGGTGGGGAATGCATATAATTAACAGAGTTACACAAAACCTATTTTATGTAGCCGTATTTTTTATTCCTTCAAGACACTTATCCTGATTAGAGGTAGCTACATGGCCCAGAGTATTGGACCTGTAGTCAGGAAGACCTGAGTACAAACCCAGCCTTAGAAACTTACTAGCTGTGTAACCCTGGACGAGTTACTTATGTCTCACTCTTCTATCTCTAAGATGGGGATGATAATAACAGCACCTACCTCACAGGGTTTGTTGTGAGAATAAAATGAGTACTTTGTAAACTTTAAAATGTTATATAAATGTTAGCTATATTATTCCACCCCTCCTCCCATCACTCTGTATTTATCTTGTATTGACTTATTTGTAAAAATATGGAATCCTTCCAGTAGAATTTAAGTTCCTTGAGGAAGAAGTCTTTCTCACTTTTGTATTATATCCCTAGAGCCTAGGGCAGTGCTTGACACATAACATGCACTTAGTAAATGCTTACTGATTGACTTGTTATTTGTTTGATTAACATATGCCTGTATATGACCTACTGCATTTGGTTCATTTGATAATATTCTATTATGTCCTTTGGATGATATGTAATATGTGACGGAAATGATGCACGTATGAACCCAATACAATCTGCAAGGACTGAAGAGTCTTTAACTGAGGGAGAATAGAGTAACAAGAAGATGGTCTGTTAGACCCCATTTCTTCTTACCATTTGGTAAGGGATGGGGAGGGAAACAAGAGAGCTCATGCAGATAACCATAAGTAAAAATTTCTCAAATCTGAAGACTAAACATACGTGGGAGAAACAATGAAACTGGTTGCTTGGAGAGCAGTAGTGGCAGGGAAACAGAAAGAAGGAAGTGAATTGCAGGCGAGAGTTTCCACATTATGTCATTGGCTTGGGGGTAGAGAAGGCTTACTAAGCACCAGGAGCTACAGAAGTTGCCAGAGATGAGCGTAGAGGGACAGTAAATAGCAACAGAGGAAGTTGCAGAGGTGGTGGCAGCAGCCGGGGGACAGGGAGACAGAAACTATACTTCAATAGAAACAGCAATTGAAGTGCTGTTGGGGTGTCCCCAACACCTTTCCTATTGGTATCATGAGTTTTGGGAGGACAAATAAAGAAGTATTCTGGGGAAAAGTGGAAGTAAGAAATGGCTCTTACTTTGAGGTGAGAAGTATTAACTGTTCTCTTTCTGAAGGAACTTGGAATACTCATTCCTTCTTTGTAGCTCATTGTCCTGAGTATTCTATAATTAAGTGTGGATCAGAAGCCGCTGTTTGCTTATAGGAAGGAAACTGAACTTACCCCAGAGAAGAGAGAGAAAATAAGTCAGTTTCTAATTTTCCCACAGAGATTCTGAAAGATGGCCCTAGTTAAGGGGAGTATTAATTGTTAGATAAGCCTTTGGGATTTACCTGGGTCCTTGTGGGTCAGGAGCTCAGATTCTACCCATGGGTCATGGGTTGCAAAGTGTTATAAATGAGTTATTATTCTTACCTTTTCCTTGTATATTTATAGATCTCATAGTTTCAAAGGTCTTATTTCATAATATTTAACTGTTTACCTATGATTCAAGTCTCATCCTCCTCAGCATTCCTTTGCATCTGTCCTCTTCTCTTTACTCTCAACATCACAGTCCAGACCCTCATCAATTCCCTCTTGGATATTGGAATAGCCTTCTAATTGGTGTCCTTGCATTTAGTCTTTTCCCTCTCTAATCCATCCTTCATAAAACTGTCAAATTGATTTTCCTAAAGCTCGGGCCTGACCATATCACTCCTCTGTTCGAGAAGCATCAGTGGGTCCCATTGCTGTTAGGATAAAATACCAACTCCTCTGTTTAGCATTTAAAGCCCTTTACAATCTGACTCTAGCCTCTTTCCAGACTAATTACACATGACTTCCTCTCTTGGACACTGTGTTCTGTCCCAATTGGCCTTCTAGCTGTTCCCCTTACCCTGACATTCCTTCTCTGACCTAAATGCCTTTGCAAAGCTCCAGAATGTGTTCTCTCTCCTGATCTAGCTCCCTTCTAGGCTCAGCTCAAGTATTAAGTATTAAGAGGACTTTTCTGCTTTCTCTCTAACTCTTCCCTGGCTTCCTTTAAATCCCAACTAAAATCACATCTTTTACAGGAAGCTATCTCTAATCCCTCTCAATTCTAGTACTTTCCCTCTGTCAATTATTTCTATTTATCTTGTATATATAGCTTGCTTTGTCTATATTTGTTTGCATGTTTTCTCCATTGTTAGATTTTAAGCTCCTCAAGGGCAGGGACTATCTTTTTGTGTTTCCAGTGCCTGGCATGGTAGGTACTTAATAAATGTTTATTGACTGATTGAAACAAAGCAAGAATTCAAAATCAGAAGGTGTTAAAGGTTATATGTACCTGTGTGTAAAAGAGTGTCTGAAAAACATTGGAAGACTTATATGAACCAATGCAAAGTGAAGTGAGCAGAACCAGGAGAACATTGTACAGAGTAACATGATCAGCTGTGGAGGACTTGGGTACTCTGATAGAAACAATGATCCAAGAAAATTCCAAAGGACTCATGACATAAAATGTTATCTATCTCCAAAGAAAGAACTGATGAATTCTGGGTACAGATTGGAGCATAAGTTTTTTCAATTTCTTTGTTTCTGCTTATATTTTTTTATGTGACATGGCTAATATGGAAATCTGTTTTTCATGACTTCACATGTATAATTACTGATATTGCCTTCTCAATGGGAGGGGGAGAGGAAGGAGGGAGGGATGGAGAGAATTTCAAATGCAAAATTTTTAAAAATGTTTAAAATAATTAGAAAAGTCTAAGATGTGATTAATAAGTTGTGACTAGTAAAAGAAGGGAATTGAAAGTGAGCACAGTGCCTGTCACACAGGAGGCATTTAATAAATGCTTACTGATTGACAGATGAAATTCATTCTCTTGGAACTACTTCTCTGCCCTCCACCATCATCCTGGTTTGTTAAAATCCTATCCATCCTTCCCAGTCCTACTCAAATTTCTCCCGATTCTCTTACGTGGAAAATATCCTTTCTTCTTCTGGATATCTGTCCATCAGTCAATCTTTATTGTGTGCCAGGCACTGTGCTAAGCTAGTAGGCTACAGACTGTGTCTCTCCTACATATTGAACAAATCCTATTTTGCATTGAGTTGTTTGGGTAAGTGCTTTCCTTAAGGACAGGGCCAGTGCTTCACTTACCTTTTACTCTTCCTCGGTGCCTTGCACGCAGTACACATTTAATATCTGCTCTGCTGAACTGCTGCTATTTACTGCCCTACTGTGTTCGAGACATCCTAATTCCAACCCTCTTGGCAAGCAGTGTGGAAGCTTTCGTTTGCTTTGTCTGGCACGTAGTAGGCGCTTAGGAAATGCTTGGGATTGTTTTTGCGTTCCAGGGCACAATCATTTATCATCCAATAGCATAAATTTGCCGTACTCCCACCCCCTTCACATACACACAATACAGCACAGAGTCTCTTCCAGGGTCGTTATTTTTTTTAGAGGAAGGTCACAAAAGCAGGGAATGGGATTTCCCGCAAATGAGGAGGGGGTGTCACTTTTGCCGTATGATCAAGAAGGAAGCAAGAATAGGAGGTAGCACAGGAGGAATCGCTAGGGGCCCTGGCCACAGGGGGAGGACAAGGAGGGGGGGAGCGGGGAGGAGATAAGAGAGTCAGAAACAGAAGCCTGCTTTAGGGGGAGGGGGCCACGCCGAGAAAGCCAGAAGAGCCTAGAACGCTAGAGTGGCAGCAGGGTGGAGCAGCGCAGAGGGAGGGGCACGCGGCGGGGAGGAGGAGGACCGCGGTGGGGCGCTGTCGGGTGGGAAATGCAGAGCAGCTAGGGGGGCTGGCCTTCAGAAAGGTCTGGCTAGGAACTGCCTTTGGGTTGGTTGGAACACGGAAGGGGGTGTGTGGGTGTGTGTATGGGGAAACCGAAAGCCTCTGTGGTTTTAAACCGCAAGCCTCTCGGCAAGAACGCACCCCGGCCTCTTTTCTTCCTCCTTCTCTCCCCGACGGGTGGGAAAGAGTTAAACCTTAAGGGGGCGTGGCCAATCACCCTCTGACGCGTGGAGGGCGGGGCTGAAGGCACCAGTTGGGGAGGGGGGAGGGGGAGGAGGAGGAGGGTTCCGGGGGCCGAGAGAGGGGGAGGTGAGGAGGGGGGCGGGGAGGAAGGAAAGGAAGGGGGCGTGGCCCGGGCCTAGGGGGCGTGGTCGGGAGAAGTTGTTCCGCGCTGGGCGGGCCGGCGGCGGACCCGGGAGCTGGAGAAGTTTGCGCGGCTCGCTAGCGAGCGAGCGGAGGGGAGGGTGCGGGCCCCGGCGGCGGCTTCTCTGCTCCCGCTGCCATGGCTTTCCGGCGGAGGACGAAAAGTTACCCGCTCTTCAGCCAGGAGTTCGTCATCCACAACCATGCGGACATCGGCTTCTGCCTGGTGCTCTGCGTCCTCATCGGGCTTATGTTCGAGGTGAGGGGAGCGCCCGGGCACTGGGGGGGGGGGGGAGGGAGGGGCGGGCAGGCGCCACCCCCCCACCGCCACTGGTAGCCCCTGTCCGGTCCGCGCGAGTTCTGTCTCCCCCCTCCCCCTCTCCAGCCGCCCCCTCCCCCAGCGCCCGGGCGCCTCCAGATGTGGGCTCCTGTATCCACGTAATCCGCATCCTCCTCCTCCTCCTCCTCCTTCTGCTGCTGCTGCCCGGGCCCGGGCTCGCTCTTCCGCTTTTGTGCACCCGCTCCCTGGGCTTCTCGATCCATCCAGGCTGCAGCCACCCCGCCCGCCCTCCACCCGTGCGGGGCCCCGGGGGGCACCCTGGCCCTGGCCCTGGGGCCGCCCGCGCTGCCCTAGTCTCCTGCAGGCGATGCTCGAGGTTTCCCTTCGAGTGTATGTGGTTCTGACTCCTTCATGACCCTCCCAACTTGCGACCACAGCCTCTGGGTACATTATTGTGACTTCATCACTCTTTCAATTTTCTGTTACTTCCTTTTACACAGCCTTAGAACGCTGACTCTCCTTCTCTTAGCCTAAGACTCACCCGTGCTGGGCCAAGGGCTGCCACAGAGCCCCAATATCCTGACGCCCTTCTGTGCAGCTGCATCAGCGCCTAGCACGGTGCCCGGCATATACAGCTTAACAAATCCTCCTTCCCTTCTTCCCTCCTTCCTTTCCACTTCCTTCCTCCCACTTTACTTCCCTTCCTTCTCCTCCCATCCTTCCTTCTCTCCCTTCTTTGCTCTCTTCTTTCTTTTCTCCCTCCCTTCCTTACTCTC